GTTGGGACACTTTTTAAAATTTTTATTTTTAAAATTACATTAAAGTTGACTAAATAAAAAAATAACTTCACTTTAAGGAAAATTAAATTGAAAAAAATTAAAAAATAAAAACAAACAGAAAAAGTCAAAGTAAAGATTTGTGTCTGCTCACTCTCCTAAAAATCAGCCATCGGTAGGGTATTAGAGGACTGCAGGAATACATTCTTATTGCCTCAGCCATAGAATACATCCGAATGGAATAGCATAAATGAGTGCAAGAGACGAATTGAGTGAGAGGGAGTGAGAGAGCATTATAACTCATGGGCATTCTCTTGCTTTGAAACCGAGTGAGTTGGGGTGGCAAGTAAAAAGAGTGCTTTTGGAATAAGGAATGCAGCCGAATGTCTCGAATGGTTTTTAACACTCTCTATGCATTCATTTATTTTTTATTGTTGAGCAAAACGCTTCTTTAATATTTCTTTAATAATGAGGAAATTCACCAAAAGGTGAATTATGATGAAAGTGTTTTTTTACTTATGGTTTTTAGCTGTTATTATTATTTTCTTAGTGTTTTTTGTTTAGTTTTCTTAAGTTTTTCCAAATTAAATTATTTTACAAATTTTTTAAGCGGAAAAATTGTGCTGGAAAGTTATTTATTAATAAATATTGAAAATATGTTTACATTCATATAAGTAAAATATGTAAAATAAAATATACAGCTTAATAATGAATATTTTTGAAAACAAAACAATGACTTACTTCCACTTTTGAATTATTTTATTATCAGCGTCTAAAAATACAGGAATGCATTCGAAACAATTCGAATGCGAACTGTAACTCTAACTCATTCAATTCGGTTTTCATCCCCCGAATGTTGTGCAAGTGAGACCTACACAGTCGCCTACACAGTAATTTTGTCCAAAAGTGTGCAACGCAGTGAAGGAGACATCTCCGACCCTATCTCCGATATTCTTGATCAGGATCACCTCCTGAGTTGATATGAGCATGTCCGTCTGTCTGTCTGTTTCTACGCGAACTAGTCTCTCAGTTTTGAAGCTATCGTCTTGAAACTTTTCACACACCCCTCTTTTTTTTGCACGCAGTATATAAGTCGGAACGGCCCGGATCGGCCGACTATATCCTATAGCTGCCATATAACTGAACGATCGGAAATGACCCAACTTTCGTGTTTTTAGAGTTAGAGAGTTCAAATTTGACACGAGAGCTATTTTTGGCAAACCATTACGACATGCCAAATTTCATAAGGATCGGCCGACTATATCCTATAGCTGCCATATAACTGAACGATCGGAAATGACCCAACTTTCGTGTTTTTGAAGATAGAAAGCTGAAACTTAATACAGATTCTATTTTTGGCCAGTAGATCCAACCTACCAAATTTCATTAGGATCGGCCGACTATATCCTATAGCTGCCATATAACTGAACGATCGGAAATGGTACTTGGTAGAAATATCAACTTTCGTATTTTTGAAGATAGAAGTTTGGGACTTTTTTTAGATTTTTTATTTTAGTTAATTAGTTTTATTATGATGTAATCATAAGGATCGGCCAACTATATCCGATGTTTGCAATATATATCCGGTTTTAACTGATTTTATTGTAATTAATTGGTTTTGTGATGATACTCTCATAAGGACCGGCAACCTTTATCCGATGTTTGCGATTTATATCCGCTTTTAACTGCAAGGGTATATCAACTTCGGCTCCGCCCGAAGCTAGCTTTCCTTTCTTGTTTTAAAAGCTCTTCGTCTAGTTCTAATATTGAGGCAAATAAAACAGTGCTAAAAAAAAAAAAAAAAAATTCACTTAAATTGCTGGCGTTCCGAAGCAGTAGTGTGCCTTCCCATTTCGCCTATTCTTTTCATTTACACGCTGTTACTCCCAAGCGCTCGTAAAATTGCATTTTGTTTTGGGAAAAGCTTTAGAACTTGAAACAATTTTCATAATTTTCCAATAAAATTGGTCCCGTTTTATTCAGGATTAATGAGACAATATTGATATGCGACAAAAATGATACCATATTTTATTAGTTGTACCGAAAAAATGAAGTCACAATCCGAAAAACCCGACAAAAATGTCAGTTTTTTTTGTAAAATTTGTATCCTTTTTGTTAAAAATAATTGAAGATCCACTTTTTTTCAAAAGCTACAACATTTAACTATTGAAAAACGTCGGATTTTAAAATTCGCGTAATATTATGCGTTTAGGAATTTTTAAGAGCAAAAATGCCCCGAAAAACAGTTTTTTAACAATAACTAGAAAATTTGGGGGTGTCAAAATTTTTGTCGACCCCTTTTTTGTATGTACTTAACCAGCCCCACATCCTCTGATAGGTGATAGGGTGATCCCGGGTTTCTTTAGCAAACTCAATTGAGTAGGTCGATATTAGTGTAAATATAAAAATTGAATTGGCGTTGCCACATCAAAACAGTAAACAGCTGATCTCGGGGTGTAAAAATAATTCATTTGATTTATTTTAACACCCCAAACATGGAGCGAAAATTCAAAGAGAAATATTAGAGAGAGAGAGAGAAAGAGAACAGCTGTTCAGTATTACCCTTTTCCTAAATTTTTTTGGTCACACTAGCTAGCTAGATTTCGCTAGCACACGTGTTACAGCGGATTTTCGTCGTCAGAGTACTAGGCTTAATATAGAAATCTATTATAAATGTGTTATGATGCAGCCCATAAATAAATGCATTTATGGATAGCTTGCACTTTTCTGAAACAAAAATTCGCCAGATCGTGAAAAGGCGGTACCGTCGGGACATTTTGGAAACTGTTGTGCTTTCTTGGGCCCAGCAGCACTTTGGTGATACGGAGGAGAGGCTTGACAATAACAAGATTTGAAACATCGATGTTTTTTAAAAAAATGTTTTATAACATCGAAATTTTCGATGTTTTGGAGCGAAAACATCGATACTAATCGATACATCGAAAAAATTTTAAACAAAATATAAATTTATTCAAGTTTTATCAGAGTTTTAAAATAAAGTAACAAATAATTAAAGTTGAGATCAAAGTTTCTATTCATAAAAAGTAATTTGTCTACTACGGTAGGCTTCAGCGAGCACCTCCAATCTGAAATGAGCTGTCCCGCCTCTCTGAACATACGCTCGGAGTCGCAAGAAGTGGCTGGAACGCACATATGCTTCTTGATAATAAATTTATACGCAGCTATTGGTACTTACCTTTTTCTCACTCTTTTTTATTGTAAAAAAAAATGATAGGAAAATTTTCAATTCAACCATCGATGTTAAACAAAAATATCGATGTTTATATGGATACTAAAAATTATGCATCGATGTTGGGTATTTTTTTCAAACATCGATACATCGGTAAAACATCGATGGATCGTCAAGCCTCTAATACGGAATGGACGTTTCAACATGATTCAGCGCCAGCCCATAGAGCCAAATTGACTCAGGATTGGTGCAAAGCCAATTTTCCGGACTTTATCACATCCAGGGCCACCTTACTCGCCAGATCAATACCATTATCGGAAGAAGACCTGCGGCCCATTGTGTTAAATTTCCAGAAACGTTTAGGGCTCTGCATCGCAGCCCAAGGAAGCCACTTTGAAACCGGCTGAATATAACATATGATAACACAATACCTATTTAATAGTTGTGTATCTCCATTGCAACAAATTCGAGCGGCGATTTTTTTTAAGAACCAAACTTTTAAAGGAAATTATTTAAATAACGGCAATAATTTAGATCTCATAATAAACCAAAATAATAACAAGTACCTGAAAAATTGTAAACAAGGTAAACAAGTCAATCAGCTGTTTTAGTGTATTCACACTCCCTAAATCGTTCCATCGTTAAAACAGGCATGCACAAGACTCTTGCAGAACAACAAAAACTTAAAGCAATCAGCCTTTTAAGTGACCCCGACTGAAATATACCCTGTTCCTATCTCAGTAAATTAATTTTTAATGATTCGTAAAAACATATACAAGTATATACAAAACATTTATTGCTAACACTTAGTCTCATCCCTAAAAAAAAAATGTAAGATGTATGCTGAAAAATTAAAATATATAATATAACAAATAATACTATATTATTTCTTTCGTTATTTCACCAAATAACGAATACCCAAATTTTGTTAGGGTAGCAAGCCTGAAAAGTTAGAAAAATCAAAATTTTATGCGCTGGCTTCAAATGCGCTTACTCGCTCTGGGGCCTGAAATTTTATGCGCTGAATGTGTGCCACGCATACATGCATGCAACGATCAATCCAAGCGCAGGCCAACCTTCTTCATCGCGCTGCTTTCAGAGACTGAGAAACAGAAAGCATTTAATGAGAATAGAGAGTAAGATTTCGTTCTGGGGCCTGTCGCAAGAAATTTTTGCGCCAATTTTCGTTGTTTGAAATGGGTTGTTATATGCTGTATGGTTAGTGCTTAAATCCTCATAATAGACATGATGTCAAAACGTCAGGAGGAAGGGCTGTGTAGCTGTGTTTGAAGCCTTCTAAAGTACCTGTAGCTGCAGCTTTCTGGTATTCGCACCAAGACTCTTTACCTATTTGACATTTCTCGTGCTATGGGTTCTCGTCAGTTGAGCTATAGGTATAATAAATACCCGAAACCAATATACTATGTTTACAAGTAACTGCTTTTTACCAAAACGTTTGATGAGAAACGTAGTGCGATGTTGATTTTCCAAATATATTTACTGAAGTGGACTGTATGTACTATGCTGCGTGTTCACGGATTCACTGCTGAAGAATAAGTAACTTAAAAAACTAAAAGCGACGCAGCGCCGGAATGTGTATAAAGAAGAAAAACTAACACTAAGAAAAGACGACGCGTCGATCTGCATTGCCATGGCAACCCGAACACTGGCAACGCCGCCAGAATGGATTCCGATTCTCAACATCCCGGCCCGCCCTAAAACATGGTTTCTGAACAAGGTAGTTTAGCAATCTTGGTTATGGGTCGAGTTGCTTCTCCTGTGGCAGTTTTCAATTTGACAGTCCTAACCATACCGTCAGCTCCAGGGTACGTTGCGATAACCTTTGCCAGTGGCCATGAAGCTGGTGTAGTATTCGAATCCTTGATGAGGACGACGGTTCCCAATTCCACACTCGGCTGCGGTGTTTCCCATTTGGGACGTTGTTGTAGCGTAGTAAGGTATTCCTGGTGCCAGCGCTTCCAGAATCCTTGGTAGAGTGCTTGAACGCCTTGCCAGTAGTCAAGTCGATTTTCAGGGATGTGGCTCAGGTCCCCTTCAGGAATGGTTGTAAATGATCTGCCTATCAACATATGTGCTGGAGATAGATATGTGACATCGGTGTCCGGTGTATAGTACAATGGTCTCGAGTTTACCACTGCACTGATTTGAGCTAGTAAGGTGTGCATCTGCTCGAACGTCAGGATAGTGTTGCCAATGATGCGGCGCAGATGCAGCTTGACTGATCGAACGGAGGACTCCCATTTTCCTCCCCAGTGAGGTGCATACGGTGGAATGAAAACCCAGTTAATGCCTTCGTCTGCCAGAGTCTGTGAGACCAGGTCTCTGTGATTTGTAGATGCCAGAAGTTGTTGCATCTCATCCAGTGCTCGCTTTGCTCCGACAAAGTTCCTACCGTTGTCACTGTAGATCTGTGCGCATTTTCCTCGTAGGGACATGAATCTTCTGAGGGCTGCTAGAAATGCCTCTGTGCTAAGGTCAGTAGCGAGTTCCAGATGTAGTGCCGAAGTGACGAGGCACACAAAAAGGCATATGTATCCCTTTGACTTCTTAGCGTTGCGACCCTTTCGACCCTTAAGAATTATTGGTCCAGCGTAATCACATCCAGAGTTGACAAAGGGAAGCGATTGTGTGATTCGGATACTTGGCAAATCGGCCATGAGTTGGTGCGTAGTATGATGCCTTTGACGAAAGCATCTGATACAGTTATGAGTTACCTTCCTTATCAGATTTCGTGCACCAATAACCCAATAACGTTGACGAGTTATTACAAATAGTGCCGATGTACCTGGGTGCAAGTTTACCCAGTGTTCGTGTTCCAAGAGCAGCTTCGTAATGCGGTGAGCCTTCAGCAGCAGTATCGGGTGTTTGACTTCTTCCGGTAGTTTAGATTGTCTCAAGCGCCCGCCAACTCGTAGTAGGTCATCCGAACCAATAAACGGTGCAAGCTTTGACAATTGCGACCTGTTTCGCAGTGGTTGATTCGTCTGGAGAAGCATTCGGTCTTCTCCAAAGCACGCCTGTGCGTTTCTCAGGCATACAAGTCGTGCTGCCTTGATCTCCTCAAAAGACAGGGTGGTTGATTCCGCTCGGTTTCGTGTCTTTTTCAGTCGTCGGATAAAGCGTAGAACATAGCCCACGGTATGTACCAGCTTCTGCCAGGATGAAACGCGTTCAACAAGGTCGTCGAACGCTGAAAATGAGTCGTCCATCCTCTCACGAGTGAGCATGGCTGTGGTCCTCAATTCGTCTTGTGCATGATGATCTGAAAACTTGAAACTAGTTTCAGAGTTTTGTACCTTAGCCGTGTACTCGTCATCGTTGAGCAGCCATGGTGGCCCGTTCCACCACAGGTGAAATTCTAGTAGTTGGGAAGTCGTCATTCCCCTTGATGCGCAGTCGGCGGGATTCTCCTTTGAGCTTACGTGATGCCAGGTATGTCGTGGCAACGTTTCCAGAATTTCCGAAGTGCGATTTGCGACGAAGGTTTTCATCTTCGATGGTGGATATGATAGCCAGGATAAAACAATAGTTAAATCGCACCACGCAATAACCTGAATTTCCTTGTGTCGTAGTCCTTCCTTGAGTGATCGTACCAGGCGACTTAACAGCAGCGCTCCACACAGCTCTAGTCGAGGTAAGGATTGTTGTTTCAGTGGTGCTACCCTGGTTTTGGCAGCCATCAACGAAACCGAATAGGTTCCGTCCTTGTTTCGACACCTGCAGTAAACAGCAGCAGCATATGCCTTGGTCGATGCATCGGAAAAGGCGTGTAGCTCCATGGAGTTTGTCCTTGCTAAGGACAAATCGTGGTATTTGCAATTTTCGTAGCGTGTCGAGATCTGCTCTGCACTTGAGCCAAGGTTCGGCAATGTTTGGTGGAAGCTCCGAATCCCAATCGAGATCCAATAACCATAGCCTTTGGAACATGATTTTGAATTGTACCACAATCGGCGATAGTAGGCCAAGTGGGTCAAAGATACGTGCAACATCTGAGAGGATTTGCCTTTTAGTGCAGCTCGGATTTGATGTCAAGCCGGTTTGGTACATCAGCGTGTCGTCGGTTGGATTCCAGTAAATTCCAAGAACCTTTATCGAATCTTGTACTCGTGCGTTTCCCGTGCTGATAGCGTCTCTGAAATCAGGCTTACATATTAGTGATGAATTGGATACCCACTTTTCAAGGTCCAATTTGGCGTGTGACATCAGTTGTAATAGCTCATTTTTATTTGCTAGTAGCTCATCTTCGCGGTTCGCTCCAGTGAGTACATCGTCGACGTAGAAGTCCTCTAGAAGAATTCTCGATGCAGTTGGATATTCTTCTCTGTAATCCTGTGCCAGTTGCTCCAATACCCTTACAGCCAGATAGGGCGCACAAGCTGTTCCATAAGTTACAGTGCGTAACTGGTAGTGCTTCAAAGGCGCAGATGGATGCTCTCTCCATAGGATTCTTTGGTAGCCTTGATGATCGGTGCTTACCCAAACTTGGCGAAACATTTTGACAATGTCTGCGGAGAATACATATCTATACATTCTGAAGCGGAGACAAACAGCAAAAAGGTTGCGCTGAATGCTCGGCCCAACGTGTAGTGTGTCATTCAGAGCCACTCCATTTGCGTCCTTGAATGACCCGTCAAATACGACCCTAAGTTTTCGTCCAACTATAGGGTGATGGGGCAGATAGAAGAGGTTACCTGAATCGTTGCTCAATGTTTTAACTTCGGTCATATGACCAAGACTTAGGTATTCCTGCATGAATTTTCTCGTAGATCCGGATACTTCTCTCGTAGATCCGGATTGCGCTGTAGCCGTTTTTCTACAGCCATGAAGCGAGCTTGTGCTCCTTGGAGTGTGTCTGCAAACTTCGGATTTGCCGTCTTGAATGGTAGCTCGACGATATACTTTACATCGTTGTCCCTTTTGTGCGTCTCGAGGAAATGTTTCTCCACCGTGTCTTCGTCTGAATCCTTGCGAGCGTAGCTGCTGACTTCTTCTATCTCCCAAAATCGTTGTAGTGTACTATCAATGTTGCATGTGGAGAATAGCGTTGTAGTTGTTGGAGACGGATTAACTCCAACCGATGTGATGACCCATCCAAATATCGAAGATATGGCAATAAGATTACCCATGTTGTCGTGCATCTTTTGGCCCGTTAGCGTGCTCCAAACGTAGTCGCTCCCCAATAAAATGTCTATCGGAGCCACCGATGCGAAGTCGGTATCCGCCATCAGGAATGATGTTTCGATGATGTTTCTCTGCAAAGACGATGTGATCTTACTGAGAACGTGTGCAGTAATCTTTAGTGCTCTGTCTGTGAATCGCGATTTGAGATTCAGCTGTGTGATTCCTCTGGTTGCCTCAGCCTTGATGGAAGAAATTCCCGATACCAATATCCGAGATGATGAACGTGCAAGTCCAAGTGCGTTAATGCAACGTTCCGAAATGTATGACTCAGAACCACTGTCCAATAGTAGCCGGCAGCTTATATATGTTCCATTTGCGTTCTGAACAAATACCAATGCAGTCGGTAGCGTGCTTTGGCGACGCCCATGTTTGTGTGTAATTTCTGCAAGGCCTTGTGCGTATGCAGCCAATTGTGAGCCATGTGCTCGCGCTAAGTGACTCACTGTCACCGATGTAGCTTGAGATTCGTCCTGATTACGCTGATTCTCCCTTCCAGTTGGTACGTCCTGTACCGTAGCCTGCGAAGTGTTCGTAGTTGCTGCAAAGCCTTGCGCGGATGCAGCTTGTTGTACATGTAGTAGCGTATGATGTCGTCCGTGGCATGTTCTACAGTTGAATTTGGATTCACACTGCCTTGTAAAATGTCCCGATCTCAAACAGTTGAAACATAGCGATTTTTCCTTTGCCATTGATCGCCGTTGCTCAACACTCAGCGCCAGGAAGTCCGCAGAGCCTGCTAGGTGGTGCTCGTTCATTTTGCCTCTGACGTTAGTGCCCCTCTCGACAGCCAACATAGCGTTGGCATGCATAGGTCTTTTTGCCTTTTCCTGCTGCTTAGGTTTGCCATCCCAATTGCTTTGGCGTTGACTGAGTTCAAATTCCTCACAGCGAGTATCCAGGAACTTAAACAAATCGTTGGTTGTTGGTGACTTCGATCCATTTACGGCGTGTTTCGGCATCCATTTTTTGCAAAATCAAAAAGATGATCCAGCAATCTCGTGTGTTTTCTCCGATCGCGTCCAACGCTCGAACTATCTCATTTGCTCCATCAGTTACTTTACGTAGGACCGATACATCAATCTTTGTGGTCTCCGGCAGCTTCGTGAATTTCTCCAATACGGAAAAAACAATGTGGCGTGGTCTGTCGTATCTCTCATTTAAACGCAAAACTGCTGTTTCGTATGCGCTTTCTGTTATTGGTAAATGTGCAATAAGGCTTGCCGCCTCATCGGTCAACAGTGACTTCAAATAATGAAACTTCTGCGTATTTGATAGATGTCGTTTCTTATGAATGGTACTGTCATATATGTCTCGAAATGCTGGCCATTCCTTGTAGTCTCCAGCAAAACGCTTAATTTGAATTTTCGGTAATTCATTGTGCATTGGTTCTGCGTCCACGACGCCATTGTTTGAAATAGGTGTACTTGCTGCGTCGGAACCAGCCATACGTTCCAGCATCTGTTGTTGTTGTTGTAGCAACTGGAGAAGTGCGACTCCATTGCCCATTGAGTCATTGCATTGACTTGTTGATGGTGCTTGTGGCTCCAGTGAGCGCTTTGCTGAGACAAGGAACTCCCTTGCTTTCAGGTACCTTGCTTCGTATTCTGCGTTGTCGTCGGCTGGATCTACGTACCCATCGACCTGATCATGAACGGATAATGCATCTCCAAGCTTTTCGAATTCGCTCCATGCAAAATCTAATCGTTCCAGCAAAACTTCGATTCCATCCTTTGATTGTGTTGCAGGTAAACGCTCAGCTAAGGACACGATCCTCGTGATCGTACTCTTGAGTCTGCGGCGGCCCGCAACCAGTAGTTTGTATTCCTCCATTTAAGGCAATACCTAGCGAAATATTCTTCCAGTCAATCCGGGTCTGAAGGACCAAAATTTTCTATGATGAGAAACGTAGTGCGATGTTGATTTTCCAAATATATTTATTGAAGTGGACTGTATGTACTATGCTGCGTGTTCACGGATTCACTGCTGAAGAATAAGTAACTTAAAAAACTAAAAGCGACGCAGCGCCCGAATGTGTATAAAGAAGAAAAACTAACACTAAGAAAAGACGACGCGTCGATCTGCATTGCCATGGCAACCCGAACACTGGCAACGCCGCCAGAATGGAGTCCGTTTCTCAACAACGTTCAACGCTCTTTCCTGTACATTGCCCAATTAGAAAAGAAACACCAAATAACCAAGAAAATCTTCTTATCTTCCACGTTCCATCGCCCAAAAAAATCCACTCTAAGGTTTTTTCTAGGTCATTTGTCTCACACATTGCTTTATTTCTTCTTCGGCAGCTGAAGAAAAGAATTCAGTAGAAAAACTTTTTGTAGAAGTCCACGTAGCGGTCACTTTTTGAACTAATAGTTATTTGGGGAACGTCACCACATATGTCAGTCGCATATTGATAGTTGTTCAGTATATCAACTCCGGTTTACGAAATGGAACGCCTCTTGAACGAACAACGCTGGGAAATTTTAAAATTTTACTTCCAAAGTAACGAATCAGATTTGGACGAAAAATCATCTTTTCGGACGAGGCGCATTTCCATCTTGGCAGCTATGTTAATAAGCAAAACTGCCGTATCTGGGGTACAAAAAAACACTCATGTGATCGTGGAGAAACCAATGCATCCCGAACGAGTGACTGTTTGGTGCGGATTATGGGCTGGTGGTATCATTGGGCCGTTTTTCTTCAAAGACAGTGCGGGAAGAGCCGTCACGGTTAATGGCGAGCGCTACCGAACCATGATAACCGATTTTTTGTGGCCTATTATCGACCAAATGGACGTGGAAGACAATGGCGCACCGTGCCACACAAGCAATGCTATATTCGATCTACTGCGCGACAAGTTCGACGAACGCGTTATTGGCCGGCGCGCCGAGGTCGCTTGGTTGCCTCGTAGCTACGATTTGACGCCATTGGACTATTATCTCTAAGGTGCCGTTAGGGATAAATGTTATTCCAAGAATCCACAAACAATTAAGGACCTGAAAGCCGAAATCGGCGAAGTTATTGGCCAGATACAGCCCCACACGCTCGAGAACGTCCTCAAAAATTGGTCTAATCGCATCGGCTACTGCCACGCCAGCCGCGGCAGCCACATGAATGATGTTGTGTTCCTTCATTAAACCGGAAGAATTAAGCTTCACAATGAAAAAATCAGAATTGAAAAATAATTGACGCGTTTTCATTTTATAGCCATTTCAAAAGGTGATTTTGAATGCGCGTGTCCAACTTCGGTTGTGAATTTGTTTTGTGTTAACTCCTCCACCTTTAAAATCGAGTGCGTGTCCACGCTCGTTGCGGTGATTGATCTCGTTACCGGAAGCTACTTTGTTGATGAGCAGTACTTTGACCCTTTTAAACAAGAAGGAAATTGCTATTGCTGCAAGTCCCGTGATTATTATGGAACCAATTAAAAAATCGGCTGTATGCGATGTGGTTTTCAAGAGTTCCAAGGTTTTCGAATAGTTGATGTTTAGCTCTTTGATCAATTCCAGTGATAGCTTCTCTTCTATCTTTCGAATGGTCATCTCTATTTGGAGAATGGCTGGCATCGGGTGATAGTGCACCGGGTTTTTGTTGGTGAAGGTCTGTCCATCAATATTAATTGTAGAATTGCTGAAGTTGATAACGAAGGTTCCGTTGAGACTTGTGGATGTTCCATTTATTTCTACGTTGCCAGAGAATTTGTTGAGAAGAATTACACCAAGTGCGAGTTCATCAATAATTGGAATGTGTTGGTTGTTGATTTGAGTGCAGGTGGAGGGGCGACTTTTTAATAAATTTGGTAGGCAAGAAGAATTACTTATGTCTATCATATTTCTATTTTTACAAATTGTTAATTCATTATAATTGTTTGTAGGGCGGCAACAAGCAAAAGCTTCCAGAAATGGGGGTAGAAAAAATAAGTCGGGGGCGTCTTCAGTAATTTCCAAAAGAAACGCGTTTAGCTTTATTGGGCTGCTTACATCGAATACTGACTTAAAAACTAGTACCAAAAGAGACGATTGGCGACAACCAACGAGCGAGAGAGAGGGCTCAGAGGAGCGAATGTGGATGCCCCCCGTGGATGTGGATGGCACCACGGCCCCTCACCTAAACATTCCGCCCCCCTTGCAATCGCTCGGGGTGCAACAGCTCCCTCGTCGTTACAGCTGGTGACAGGCTACGGTCACGACCCATCCAAAAACGGTGTTCTGGACCACTGACAGCCCGTGGGTACGCGGGTACATATCCGCGCCCAGAGCAACGGAGATCGTCGCTGGCAGATGGAACCACTCATCCGCCAATGTCACGCCTCGGAA